TTTTTTTTTTATGCAGTTTACTTAGGTATATTAGTAAATTAGTTATGCAAGGTATATGAAACCAATTTACTTACAAATCTCTCTATTTACAAGAGTTGTATTCTTTTCACATTGTCCTGTAGACGTTACAGCAAGAAAGAAAAGTAGTCAGTTATTAGTGCTTCACATTTTTATTACACAATTTCTTTACTGCAAACCAACTTCTTTTTTTTTTTTTGTAAGTTCACTGAGCATTTATTTTGCATCTGTCCTGTTTATGAATGCACACCTCTATATGTGTACATTGTGTGTATTATTTTATTTGTATAGTAATTTAATACTACTACTATTAATAATAATTTGATACTTTTTTATATTTAAAGTTTTCTATATTGTGCAACCTCACCTTTCTTTGAGCTATCTTGAATTAAATATTGCTTTAGTTTAAAGTATCTTTCATGGTCATTATATGTTGTTTTGTTGGTAGTCCAGCTCACATTTGCATCCCCCATCAGCTTTACAAACAAACTGTCCACCTTTATTTCTTTGGTTACTTCCAAAACAAGTCATCCCTCCACAATAATAAAAGTATTGCTTTCATTAATTGGGTCATAGTGAAGACTGAGCTTTTTGATGGATTTTGACATTTTATTTTCTACGTCTGTACACTAGACATTCAAATACAGCGCAGCTGGGAGGCTCCTCTCGTTTGCCTGGCTAAAGAAGGATTGTGAAATAATAATTCCTGTGAAATAAAAGGTGGGTTGAGGGTGTGACGCTTCCTACAATTGCCTCGTTAGCAATCTTTAAACATTGCGTAACATTGGCTATTCCACAGGGTTTTATAATGTTCAGTTTACTTTAACCTCCTGAAATTGCTGTTGCATGGTGTGCCAACTTTGCAATGACATCACTTCTGTTTTATATATATATATATATATATATATATATATATATAAAATCAACAATTTAATGTACTGTTAACACATTCGCTCTAGAAGAAGGATGGTGATCATGTCTGATTCTAACCATAGGCCTATTTCATTATGTGGTCATGTATGCAATACATATGAATTAGCAAATAAATAAAATTATTGTCACATGCATGACAATAGGTTTGTAATTTATTCAGAATAACAGTTACCACTATTAGCACATGTATAATTTATTAATGCATGTTTTTTTTTTAATCTAAAATGATACACAAGTAACTTGTTAAAGGTGCAATGCGTAATATATACATTGATCTATTGACAGAAATGCAATATAATATACATAACTATGTTTTCAGAGGTGTATAAAGACCTTACTTAATGAAGCGTTATGTTTTTATTACCTTAGATTGAGCTATTTATATCTACATACACCGCGGGTCCCCTTACATGGAAGTCGCCACCATGTTTCAGTAGCCCTAAATGGACAAACTGCTCTATTTTATATATATATATATATATATATATATATATATATAAAATCAACAATTTAATGTACTGTTAACACATTCGCTCTAGAAGAAGGATGGTGATCATGTCTGATTCTAACCATAGGCCTATTTCATTATGTGGTCATGTATGCAATACATATGAATTAGCAAATAAATAAAATTATTGTCACATGCATGACAATAGGTTTGTAATTTATTCAGAATAACAGTTACCACTATTAGCACATGTATAATTTATTAATGCATGTTTTTTTTTTAATCTAAAATGATACACAAGTAACTTGTTAAAGGTGCAATGCGTAATATATACATTGATCTATTGACAGAAATGCAATATAATATACATAACTATGTTTTCAGAGGTGTATAAAGACCTTACTTAATGAAGCGTTATGTTTTTATTACCTTAGATTGAGCTATTTATATCTACATACACCGCGGGTCCCCTTACATGGAAGTCGCCACCATGTTTCAGTAGCCCTAAATGGACAAACTGCTCTACACAGCGCGTTTCGTCACTTTGTTGTTCTTGCAAATAAAACCCTGACACAATGATGAACAAGTACATTAATATTAGCAATAACATCGATTTATTAAATAAGTAAATATAATTCCTTAATTTACCTTTGTAAAGAAATCTCATTGCTCTCTGCTGTATCAGACTACAACATCTTAGTCCATTGAAGATGTATGTTGAAAGACTTATAGAATAAATAATTCTTCAATCGTATCACTGATTGTTATGGCAGCTGAAATCTGAATGGATTTGCTAGAAAGGCTTACGAGAGCAGTATTTCTTATTGTAGTACAATAGTTATTGTCCTGTAGACATTACAGCAAGTATATTATATCCATTCTTATTCATTATTTCTTTATTCTTTACTGCAAACATCTCTTTTTCAAGCATGATCTGTCTCAACTTTAACTTTATACTTTGACTTTTTATTTTGCTTAAGCCCTGTTTATGAATTCACACATCAATGTGTATTATTTTATTTATATAATCATTTAAAACATTTAGAAAAATATTTCATAGATATTTATGTGTATTTTTTGTCCAATGTAATGTGCAATTAGGTTTTGCTTTAGTTTGAAGTATCTCTCACGGTCACAGTAGGTTCCCACAGGAAAGAAAAATCAAAAGTGAGATCTCTTTAATATCTCAAATATTTCTCCTAAACAGAAATGAGGTTACTTTAAGATCAAATGGAGATTTTTGCTTGAGTCTCCTGTTTCTCAAACTTGTCTCCTGAGGCAAAAGCTCTAACACTCTCACATTTGTCTCCTTTAAAGCCTTAGAAGATATCTCAACAACTTTACACACTGTGCTCAGATTTTTCTCCTTAGCTAGAGATTCTGGATCTCCCCAAAAGTTTAGATTACAGATCTCAACAACTTTACAAAGTGTGCACCAAGTCAAGTATTTGAAAGGCACTAAATAAAGGGGGGAAATAATAAATTCAGGGTTAAAGGCTATATTGAGAGAGAAATTATGCAGAAATAAGGATAATGTTACTTTTAATAATGTTTATGTACTTAGGCACATAATTTGTTGTTGGAAATAGTAATGTACCGGATGCCTTAATCAGAACTGATTTACAGAAAATGTAACCCTGGAGCTTTCTTTGCTGAAAGGCACATAAATGACTTATGACTCAGTCTTGATTATTAATTAACTAATGTGATTATTAATACATGTTATATGGTAAAAATGCTTGAGCTCATATTGAGGCATTTGACTTGGTGCACACTTTGTAAAGTTATTCAGATCACTTCTGAAATTTAGAGGAGACAGATGTGAGAGCTCCTGGGTCTTTAGTGTAAGAGAAAAATCTGAGCACAATGTGTGATGTTGTTGAGATCTCTTCTAAACTTTTGAGGAGACACGTGTGAGAGTTCCAGTGTCTCTAGCTAAAGAGAAAAATCTGAGCACAGTGTGTGATGTTATTGAGATCTCTTCCAAAACTTTAAAAGAGACAAATTTGAGAGATCCAGCGTCTCTAGCTAAAGAGAAAAATCTGAGCACAGTCTGTTATGTTGTTGAGATCTTGTTTGAAACATTGGAGGAGACAAATATGAGACCACCAGCATCTTTAGATTAGGAGAAAAATCTGAGCACAATGTGTGATGTTGTTGAGATCTCTTCTAAACTTTTGAGGAGACACGTGTGAGAGTTCCAGTGTCTCTAGCTAAAGAGAAAAATCTGAGCACAGTGTGTGATGTTATTGAGATCTCTTCCAAAACTTTAAAAGAGACAAATTTGAGAGATCCAGCGTCTCTAGCTAAAGAGAAAAATCTGAGCACAGTCTGTTATGTTGTTGAGATCTTGTTTGAAACATTGGAGGAGACAAATATGAGACCACCAGCATCTTTAGATTAGGAGAAAAATCTGAGCACAGTGTGTAAAGTTGTTGAGATCTCTTCTAAAGCTTTAAAGGAGACCTTTCTGACAGTGTTAGAGTTTTTGTCTCAGGAGACAAGTTTGAGAAGCAGGAGATTGAAGCAAAAGTTTCCATTCAATCTTAAAGTAAACTTATTTCTGTCTAGGAGAAATAATTGAAATGTTAAAGAGATCTCTTTTTTTATTTAATTTTTCTTCCCTCTGGTTAGCTTCAATGTCATTTATCCACGCCATTTCAATCAAAGACAGTACATGCATTGTCATATTTGAAGTTGTTTTATGTAGACAGTGTTTTATTGCACAATGATTTAACAGAGGAAACCATAAGAAGTTTTGGGCGAGAGCAGGCGGCGTTCGGGCTGTGTGTTTCTCCCTGCCCGCGGAATGAAAAAAGATATTCGGGTGGGGACACACACAGTTTGTGTGTTGTCTGCTTGGGAGCAAAGCAGGCAGAGTCTGCCGAGAGCTCTCAGGGGAGCTGACTCAGGGCTTGGTGCTGGGAGCTCCTTGTTGCCGTGTAATGCTAGCGACCGCTCGGCCTGCGGTCTGTGGAGCGGCCGCCATCTCCTGTGGCACTTCAACTGCCTGGAGATGCTGGCCGTGTTTCTAGCAAAGTTGAAACAAGTTCTCCCGGACCTAAGAGGTCGCCATGTGTCGGTGCGCACCGGCAACACAGAGGCGGTCTCTTATATCAACCACCAGGGAGGTCTGCATTCGTGCCCCCTTTACAGGCAGGCGCACCAGATCCTTGTGTGGTCCCAGGGCAAACTCCTCTCGCTGAGAGCAGTTCACATTCCTGGGCTTCTCATTATGGGAGCAGACATCCTGTCAAGGCAGGGGCCGAGGCCCGGGGTACGGAGAGTTTTGGCCAGGCTCAGGTGGACCTGATTGCGACTCGAGAGACATCGCACTGTCCCCTCTGGAACTCTCTGACTCATCCACCTCCACTGGGGCTAGATGCCATGGTGCAGACTTGGCCGAGGCTTCGTCTGTACGCCTTTCCCCCAATTGCTCTGCTCCCGGGAGTTCTGGAGAGAGTGCGCCGGGACGGAATCCGACAGACGGAGTATGGTTCTTGAACCTGATTTCCCTTCTCAACAGCTCTCTTTGGGAGATCCCCGTCAGGAGGGACCTCCTCTCACAGGCGGAGGGCATGATCTTTCACCCCCGCCCAGGGTTGTGGAAGTTATGGGTGTGGCCCCTGAGGGGGCACAGCTCGTAGCTTCCGGTCTCTCAACCGAGGTTGTTGAGACCATCCTCCAATCCAGAGCTCCCTCCACGAGGAAACTGTATGCCCTGAAGTGGAAACTTTTCACTTCTTGGTGCGGGGACCGCCAGCTCGACCCGGTCAACTGCCCGGTTGGTACAGTTCTGGAGTTCCTGCAGGCCCTTCTCTCTGCAGGGTTGACCCACTCCACCCTGAAGGTCTACGTGGTGGCCATTGCGCCCTACCACGCCCCTCTCGGTGGCCAGTCAGTGGGCATACACCCCCTGGTTACATGTTTCCTCCTCCGTGAGCTGAGGCTGAGGCCTCCGGCAGAGAAGCTTATGCTAAGCAGTGGATCAGGAAGCTATTCCAAAGCCTCGAGTCCTCTGATCTCCCCTCTATTTTGGGGGTCAAGACACACTCCTTCTGAAGTTGGCCTTTGGGTGGGAGGTCCTTGCCTACTTTGTCAGGTGCCTACCTGCATTCTGCGTGGCTCCTTCTCTTGCTTTAACTGTGCTCTTCCACACTAGGCAGGGACTTGTAATTCTGGCGGCGTGGGTATTCTCGTTCCCAAAGCGCTTTGACGCAGCTCGAGTTCCTGAAGGGGAACGTCTCCAGGTTACGTATGTAACCATGGTTCCCCAAAGGGAACGAGACGCTGCGTCTCGGTGCCATACTTCCAGCATCCCTGCCAGTGCTTGCTTCATTCCTAGAAGCTGACGCCGGTTCCACCGCACGTGCTTTTAACCCTTTGTGGTCGACAAACGCGGATACGTGTTTTGTGGCATCTTCTCCTGATAACACCGAAAATAACTTAAATTACACTTTCAGTTTTGATCTTACAGATAAGAGCAATACATCAATCGAATCTGTAAATGGTCTACTTTTATTTGTATACACACATAATAGCAACAAAACTTTGTTCATTTATAAAATATAGAAAACAAACAGGGTGTGCTGTCTGCCGCCTTGGTCTGCATGATCATAAACACGAGTAAGTCTTTTTTTATTAACCTACTTGTATTAGTTTTCACATAACTTGTACACATTTAACTAGTTAGACTTTCTCCAAACTATAATTCCTGACTAAATGTATAATCAAGTGAAACATTATGAAGTTTCATTCACAGCATCTAAATGTCACGATGCCAGGATGTGTTTTTTATGTTCTATAACAAACAGAAATACGATATAAAAGTAATATGAGTTATAATGTTACGAGCCTAATGTCAGTAAGAATGATTAGTCAAAACTTTACTGTGATAGAATATTCTCGGTTCACGAATATAGCCATATATGTTTATAACTATAGTTTTTGGATTGTATAGGCCTACATACAAAGCATGCTTGTGTTTATGAATGTAACTAAGCTTCTGTTCATGAAGATCTGCTCTGGTGTAAATATTTTGAATGTGTTATACCCGTGTCTTATGGAGTAATGACGCTGAAATGTTTGAAACTGTTTCAATTTTCGTTTGGAACTGTGGCTGCATCACCGGCATCTTGCACAAGAAAGGCACACGCATGTCGATCAGTTTTAAGTTCGCTGCAAAATCATACTGAGTAAGTGCACAGTATAGTAATTGTAATTGTATTATTCCTAGAATATGTGGTAATATTAATGGTGGTTGATAGTGTTGAAATGTAAGAATTGGCATTATGTTTTCTCATGAAGTATGCATACTATACTAAGGTAGCTTAGCATAGATCATTGAATCTGATTAGACCGTTAGCATCTCACTCAAGAATGACCAAAGAGTTTCTATATTTTTCCTATTTAAAATTTGACTCTTCTGTAGTTACATCGTGTACTAAGACCGACGTAAAATGAAAAGTTGCGATTTTCTATGCCGATATGGCTAGGAACTATACTCTCATTCCCGTGTAATAATCAAGGAACTTTGCTGCCGTACCATGGGTGCAGCAGGCGCAATAATATTATGCATATCTAGCCATATAGGCCTAGAAAATCGCAACTTTTCATTTTCTGTCGGTCTTAGTACACGATGTAACTACAGAAGAGTCAAGTTTTAAATAGGAAAAATATAGAAACTCTTTGGTCATTTTTGAGAGAGATGCTAACGGCCTAATCAGATTCAATGATCTATGCTAAGCTACAGCTAAAAGTGCTACCGCCAGACCCGGAGATCGGCTGAATGGATTCGAAAACGGTAAAACTCAACTGTTTAACTCTAGGGGAGTTGGAAAATGAGCCTATTTTCAAAAATAGTGGAGTGTTCATTTAAAATGCACAATAATAGGCACTGAGCTTGCAGATAGAAGGCATGCAGACATTAAGTTCTCATTGACAGCATAAATGGTGCTCAGAGGTTTGGCTGGTGAAGGAGTCTAATAAGGCACATTAGGAGAGGATTCTTTAGTACTTTGATTTGGATCATAAACTGGTGCAGAAGGAGCCGGATGGAAACCAGGCTGGATGGCATGTTGATTTGGATTTGGATAGACCCCTGCAGCAGCTCCTGGATAGGGCAGCACTGTAGGGTCATACAGATTGGGGTAAAGTCCTGCAGGTGGAGGAGGTAGTTCGCCAGGAATAGGCACAAGGTTAGGCTGAGGTGGTGGATATGGCTGGAATCCTCCAGGTGGGCCTTGCCATGGACAACACTGTTGTTCAGCTGGAAGAATGACCACAGGAAATTTGACTTCTGGATCTGATGCAAAAGACACATCCAGATACACCTGAAAGATAATCATGTTTTTGCTTTACTCTATGATAGAAAGTATTGTTAAGCTGAACTATTGCTTTAAATATGGCAATACTACAGAAGACAAAATAGCACCTTGAGTTCATACTGCACTTTTAGAATTCTGCAGTTTTCAATGGTGACAGTCAGGTCATGTGGAAGGGTCATGTCCACTATGAATTTTGACTTTTCTCCAGAAGGGATGCGATCTCTAGTCTCTTTGACTATATCCTTAAATGCTCTATTAGTGCTCTTGCCAGCGATGAATGTCTGTTGCTGCTTGAGGCTGTACTTTAGCTTGACGTCACGAGATGAAGAGTTGTCAATGTCAACAAAAACTCTGATTGTTTCACCTGCATACATTATTACAATTAGAGACAACATACAACAATAATAAAAAAATGACTATAGTCAGTTTCTATACAAGTTGCAAATTTAAATTATGCAAAAATTATTTACAGATGACACACAGATATCCAGTGTGTTTAGAAGAACACAGTAGCTGAATATCAATGGAAAGTGAACTAATTTTGATCAGACTTTCACTTGAGAATGACTAGAATTTGAGATGCTATACGAAGATATTGCTCTGCTGTTATTTTTGTCCCTGAGCAAATTATTAGTCTTTATTAGCTGCATTACTTTTTTAATGCAGATTAATCAGTCTTCTCAGCAAATGTTTTTCTATTGTAGTTTATGCCCATGTCTTCATATCTAATAAAAAATGTATGCATTTCAAGTGAGCATACATTTTTTTATACAAATTTTGAACATTTTATTTGCATGTTCCTTGGTAACTCTCAGAATTTTTATGCAATATCTCAAAATGGGTTAATGGAAACCCAACAATTGACACTGCAGGCTAGCATCTTCAGTTTAAGTAGCTCTGACAGAGAGCTACACATGTGACATGATCACCTTGCATATAGCCAGTTTTTTCAGCTGTTACAGTCATTGACATTTTTCCTGAGCCAAAAAGTTTCATCATCTTGTCTTGTGTGCCAGATTGTGGTTGCTGTATGAAAAAAACAACAACATATTGAATCGAGTGAACTAAAATTACATTAATTTCCTCTTAAGTTTTAAATCACAGACACATACTTTATATCACATTACTGGAGTTCTGATGACAGTTTATAAACCAGATAGATCCAGTCCTTGATTATGATTGGCTGAGCCATGTTCAAACACATACCTGTGACCTCTTTACATCAGTTTTACTGTGCCACAGCGTCTATGTGTTGCTTGGCAAACATTCTGCTATCAGAATTACATTGCTTGGTGGATGAATAAGATGTATTATATTTTGAAATTAATAATATTAATAATAATAATAATAAATTGCTGCTGTGTTTACTTTATGAACAAAATAAATACCTGATGGAACAAACATTTTATAAAAAACAATTAGCCACTCATTAGCCATGCCCCTTAGCCATTCTTAATTCACTATATACTACAGCTTATTGGGACTAATTGCTTTAATTAACTGATCTCTTTATTAATGTGAATCAATAGATGAGTCAAACATGGTATTGTAATTCATACCAGTAGGTGATCTTCGGTCCCATAATTTCTCAGCACAAAGGTTAATTCTGTATGTGTAGCAGATGTTGACTTCCAAGGCCTGCTCAGCTTTACTGTCAAGACATACTTAACCCAGCCATGAAATCCTTTAAAAGATGGAGGCATATTTCTGAAATTATGGAAATATAAAACTCTTTAGTTTCTGACAAGCATTACAGTGTTTAATATGTCATATAAACAGTACATATGCATTAGCAAAAAGTATAGATATATACACACACTTTCAGTCAAAAGATTGGACACCCCTTGTTATTAAGTTTTTTTTAAATGTTTTCAACATTGTATATGAAGACATTGAAATTGAAAGAACAAACATGGAATTTTGTAGTCAACAAACATGTTAAATAACCCATAATCTTTTATTTTTATTTTCGATTCTTCAAAGTAGCCACCTTTTGCTTTGATGACAGCTTTGCACACTCTTGGCATTCACTCAGTCAGCCTCTTAAGGTAGTCACCTGGAATGGTTTTCCAACAATCTTGAAGGAGTTCCCAGAGGTGTTGAGTACTTGATGACTGCTTTTCCTTCACTCTCCTGTCCAAGCTGCACAAGTTCACATCCTGTGTCCTGCCTCAGAAAGATGGACAAGCGGATTCTACCATGTTCAGTGCCTGTTCTTGTGTAGGTGTGAAGTATTCAATGGGCGTTTTGCATATCTATGAAGGGTGCAACACCATTCGATGAAGATCTCTCACACAGGGCTGAAAGGAGAACAAAGGCAACTGCAACAAGTCTGGACCAGAAGACTGAAGATGACAGCTGCACAGTACAGAAAGCATGTTTTCATGGACTGTGTCACCTTTTGCCTCTTTAGGTGTTGCCTCTTTTCTTTGTTGGAGCTCTTCTTGGGTTTCTGCCCTCTCTCTCTCTATTCCCCCCTCTCTCTATCTCTTTCTCTCAGGTAATATTTTACATGTTGGGTACAATTAACTATGCTTTACCATCCTTCATCTATTTTGTAACCAATTCAAGTGTAACCATAACAAAATATTGTTATTAAACCATTTCAATTATTAATTATGTGCTAACTAGTCTTGATTCAAGGTTAATATTAAAGTGCTACCTATTGCAATACAATAGTCACACAATAGCAACGCTCTCCCACATATTTAGCTATTCTAACTGCGCTTATTTCCGTCGTTGGTATAAGTGGCAGTGGGTGGTAATAGACTAGAAATGTACAGTTTTATACCATCGTGCTGATAACGTTTCTTTAGTCATTCGGCAATCCTACAGCCTGAACCACCATAGGGAAACCATCCTTACACCTCCTCCTCCATGCTTCACAGTGGGATCCACACATTCAGGAACCGTTCGATCACCCTCTTTACGGCGTTTAGAAACAAAAATCTCTAATTTCCACTCATCAGACCAAAGGAAAGTTTGTCACTAATTAAATGTCAATTTTTTTGTGTTTCTTGGTCCAAGCAACTCTCTTCTGCTTTTTGTTCTTCTGAAGTAATGGTTTCTTTGCCACAATTTGACCAATAGGCCTGACTCACAAAGTCTCCTCTGAACAGTGGATGTTGAAATATGTCTGCCACTTGAACTCTGAGAGGCATTTGTAATCTGAGGTGCTGTTAATAGGCATTGAGGCTGGTAATTCTAATAAACGTATCCTCTGCAGCAGCGGTAGCTTGTGGTCTTCCTTTCCTGGGATGGTCCTCATAAGAGCCTGTTTCATCATAGTGTTTGATGGTTTTGTCAACTGCACTTGGGGATATATTCAAAATTCTTGAGATTTTTCCAACCTACACTCTTAAAAATAAAGGTGCTTCAAAAGGTTCTTCAAGCGATGCCATAGAAGAACCATTTTTGGTTCCACAAAGAACTATTCAGTCAAAGGTTCTTTAAAGAACCATCTCTTTCTTACCTTTTTATAATCTGAAGAACCTTCTTTCGCCCCAAAGAACCTTTTGTGAAACAGAAAGGTTCTTCAGATGTTAAAGGTTCTTCTATGGCATCGTGAAGCACCTTTATTTTTAAGAGTGTAGGCTCACTGGAAATACTTGCCTCTATACGTGCCTACATTTCTGCAACACCGTAATTATATACCTATATGTACAAATCACTACTTTCACACAAGTATGATACAGGTACAGAGTTGATTAATAAAGGCTAATTATCACACAATTACTTGCAGAATATTATGTTACGACTTCAAAACAATTTTAATATCCTGCACAGTTTGAAAACTGATACTTTCGAACATTGTCGTCACATATACGACATCATACCAGACAGCGCGCTACATCTGCCAGGCTTTCAGCTGTTCAGAGCAGATCGCGATGCAGAATCAATGGGGAAATCGCGTGGCGGCGGGACATGCTTTTACATCAATGAAAGGTGTTCTGCCCTACAAAGGCAAAAGACCTTAACTCGCTAGAGTGTGAAACTGAGAAAAATGACTTTAAAGTTTTTTTACTTGTCCAGCCAAATTAATTATAGGTAGGACACTGGAAATTTGAAAATTAGATGTTTTAGTAATGAAAATGATCTACATTAAAAAAATTGTGAGCTCAAAATTGATTTTTTACCACTGTTTTGAAGTTAATGTACTCTGCCTTTGCAATTGTCTGCAAAACGTGAGAAGTCACACTAAGGCAAGAGGCAGTAACTTCCACATTATCAATAATTGGTTGCTGATCATCATTTATCATTATCATGATCATCATCATAATCATTTACAAAATCGTTATAGTAACACCTGTATAAAATCTAGTGATCATGGGCTGTCTCATATAGGCTATTGCATATAGTAATGTGACTGTATTAAGGTTTATTATTATTAGTTGAGGTTTATTATTTAGACTTCAGCTCGGCTTTTAACACTATCATCCCAAACCTCCTCCTGCCCAAATTAACTCAGCTCTCCGTGCCTACCCCCGTCTGTCAGTGGATCACCAGCACTGGACCCCTCACATTCAGCACACTCCCTCTTTGAACTGTTGCCGTCTGGTCAGCGCTACAGAGCACTGCACACCAGAACGGCCAGGCACAGGAACAGTTTCTTCCCTCAGGCAATTCATCTTATGAACACTTCACAATAATTGTCGAACACACAACACTGTTTATACACGTATATACTTATTTATCTAACTTACATAGTTTACATTTTGAATTTGCACATAATACACCTGTACATGCAAAAACAGTCTATTGTAATATACCTGTACATACAATTGTCAATCTGTATATTGTTATTCCCTATTTACTTGTTCTATTTTTATTCTTTTATTATCTGTGTTTTTGTCCTGTCACTGTCATTCTGTTGCACCGTGGAAGCTTCTGTCATGAAAACAAATTCCTTGTATGTGTAAACATACCTGGCAATAAAGCTCATTCTTATTCTGAAAAAATTAAATAAAAAATAAATATACAGCTTCATATGCATAAGTTTTCTAATTCAGTAAACAGTTACTCCATTGCTCACATGATACAGCGTTGCACTTGAGTGATGAAGAGCTCTGGTACGAACCCCGTGAAACTACGGTTTGACAAAAGAGCTCAAATCCGCATAAGGAAGTTAAAATAGCACGGCTGCATCAACAAATGCGTTTTTATATCTTTTTTGCATTTGTTAACACTATCGGGTATGTTTAGGGTTGGGTTTGGTGTAGGGGATATTTCCAATATGATAGAGCATTATCCTTTAGTGACATTCCCTGGATATTTGAATTCTGAACAGCCGCAATACATACCTTAAGCAACATAATAAAAACACAGCAATATGTGCCTGTATCAATGTAATAAAAACATGCCACGGTCACGTATTGAATGTGTTTTAGGGTCACTCTTTGGAAATTTCACTTTGAAACTGCTGAGAAACATGCAGTAAGATAAGTGATTACGGTGTATTTTCATGAGCCTGATTGGATTTTTCAGATTGACTGACCTTCATTTCGTAAAGGAATGATGGAATTGGGACAGAGGGAGGTTTACCACTGTGTCACATCAACTTTCCTTTTAATTACAATGTTTAATCATTTGGGAATTATAAAAAATTATTATTATTATTTAATCGTTGTGGAAATCCCAATATTACCTGATACAAGACTTCAGCTGCTCATCAGTCCGTAGTCATCGTTGTATGACTCTACTTTTCATGACTGGTCATACATTTTCAATAGGAGACAGATCTACTGGCCAGTCAGTCACATCCTCATGTGTCTACGAAACCACACTGTTTGAGCATATGCAGAATGAGACCTGGCATTGTCTTGATTTATTAACCATGGACTTCCCATGAAAGACATCTTATTGATGGCAGAATATGTCTCCATACAATCCCAATATATGGCTCCACCTCAATGGTGCCTTCATACATATGCAATTTACCCATGCCATTTGCACTGATGCACCCCCATACCATGTCTTTGCCATTGACAATTAGATTTTTGTTTCCCCCCAAAACAAGCTGAAATGTGGACTCATTTGAGCACTGCACACATTCCCACTGTCTTTTTGACTATCTGAGATGAATTTGGACCTTGAGAACTCGCTAGCTTTTTTGTAAATAGAGATTCAAGTTGCATTTCTTGATGAAGCGGCAGAATGTGTTAATTGATAGTGGTACCCCTGAGCTCATGTGGCTATATTTAACACTGCAGCATGACTGTTTTTCATGCAATGCCATCTCAGGGCTCGAAGCTCACACACATTCAACTGAGGTGTCCTGCCTTGCCCTATGCATACTGAGATTTATCTGTATTCCCTGAATCTTTTCACAATATTATGCATGGTAGATGGTGAAATGCTTCAATTCTGTGCAATTTTGCATTGAGAAATGTGATTTTTGATTTGTCTGACAATTCTCTCATGAAATTTGGCACAAAGTGATGAGCCATGATCCAGCCTTCCTGGTAAAGAGTGAGATGCCTCTTTTAAACCCAGTCATGATCCCCTCACATATTACCAATTCACCAGCTTGGACTACTTTAAAACAGTTTAACATAGATATTGTATAAAATGTTTTCACTTTTATTATGCCTCTGTGACAACATTTTTGGAGTGTTGCAGCCATCATATTTTTTATATATTTACAAAATACATTTTAGTTGGTCAGGGAAACATTGGATATCTATTCTTTGTACTTCTGTCAATTAAATTAGACAATTAAAGATAATTAACAAATCACCGATTCTTGATGTTATTACATTTTACAAACTGTCCCAACTTTTCTGGAACTGGGGTTGTATAATAATTAGTAATTAATATGACTGACATTTGCTTTTCAGAGGATGGTAATAATCTGTGGGTCAGTTTTGCTTTAATGTTATAACTGCTAGGGAACTGGAAGGAATTTGTTCTGTAAATTGTGTTCATGGGCTGTGAATTGCACCTGCTGAATATTATTTCTCTGCACATATTTACACAATAAGGAACAAAAACAATTGAAGATGTATTTTGAAAAGCACATCAGTAGTATCACTCACTGTTGAGGCAGCTGAAATCTGAATGAAAAAACATGACTTCCTGGCCTAATCACTGGTCCATCTGATGAACAAGAAGGCATGTTAATATATTACTATATTAATAATTGAGTTTAAAAAAAGCATATTTAGTTTACTATCAGCAAACACTCATTTCAGGTTTCATGTACCTTACGAGAAAATTGTATGTAATTTATTTATTTTATGCAGTTTACTTGTAAGGTATATATGAAACTCATTTACTTACAAGTCTCTCCATATAAAAGAGTTGTATTTTTTTCATTATTTCCTGTAAACATTACAGCAAGACATAAAAGTAGTCAGTTATTAGTACTTCTCATTTTTGTTACACAGTTTCTTTATTGCATACCAACTTCTCTTTTTTGAGGTTGTACGTTCACTGAGCATTTATTTTGCATCTGTCCTATTTATGAATGTACACATCGATATATACGTGTGTATATGTGTGTATTATTTTATTTATATAGTAATTTAATACTACTAATATTATTACTACTGATAATAATTTGATACTTTTATATATTTGAAGTTTTCTAATGTGCAACCTCACCTTTCTTTGAGCGCTCTTGAATGAAGTATTGCTTTAGTTTGAAGTATCTCTCATGGTCGCTATAGGTTGTTTCGTTGTCACCTGATCCTTCAGTCCAGCTTACATGTGCGTCCCCCGTCAGCTTCACAAAAAAGCTGTCCACCTTTATTTCTTTTGTTACTTCCAAAACAACTCGTCCCTCCACAATATCCCCACTAGTAAAAGTATTGCTTTCATTAATCGGGTCGTAGTGAAGACTAAGCTCTTTGATGGATCTGAACATTTTATTTTCTACGTCTGTACACTAGACATTCAAATACAGCGCAGCTGGGAGGCTCCTCTCGTTTGCCTGGCTAAAGCAGAATTGAAATGTTTGTGCAATAAAAGGGTGTGATGCTTCCTACACTTGTCTGGTTAGTAGTCTCTGAACATTACATAACATTGGCTATTCCACAGGGTTTTGTAATGTTCAGTTTACTGTAATGGTTAGCCTCAGGTCCTGAGATTGCTGTTGCATGGTGTGTCAACTTTCAAGTTAATAATAATAATAATAAAAAATAATAATAAAAAACTTAAGTTAATGTAACATTAACACATAAATTATGTTTACACATTTTTGTTGGTGTTAGTATTGTCACAATACGCTGGAGCACGGGAATGAGGAAACGAGGAGATGAGGAGATGTGGAGATTTCACAAAACGAGAGTCTTTAATAATCCAACAGGGAATCACAGAGCACAAGGAAGACGTTCACAACAAGTAGACCCGACGAAGAACTAAGGAACAGACAGGAACTTATAAACACAGGATAATTACAAACACAGGTGAGCGGAATCATCAATCAACTAAACAAGAACAGGAAACATGACCAAAAAAACAGGAACTAAGAGAGAGGTAAAACACGACAGACAGTCCAGAATCCTGACAAGTATTATTATTAGTAGTAGCAGCAGAAGTAGTAGTAGGTCTATTATTATTAATAACAATAATACAATTACAGTTAATAACAGTCATAATAACGGTTAACATAATAATAGTGAAATACTCAAATTATAAGTTCACTTCTGTAAATCTGCTATCAGCAACATTATAATAAGTGTTTACATTGAAGGTAATAAAAGAATGTTTTCAAAATAATGTTCTCAAATTAGTTAACACAAAACGTATATCTTCTAGGCCTACTTTAACTTCAGGAGGATGAAGATCATGTATGGATTCTAACTATAATTCATTTTGTGGTCATGTATGTATGTACAGTATGTATGCATGCATGTATGACGCATGAGCAAATAAATAAAATCATTGTCACATGCATAATAATAGGTTTTTAATTCATTCAGAATATCAGTTACTACTGTTAATTAATGAATTTATGTTTATAAATCTAGAATAATAAGCAGGCAGTACATCCAACCGGCCTCACAACCGCAGACCACGTGTAACCACCCCAGCCCAGGACCTCCACATTCAGGGGTCCTCATCGGGGTCTTGACCTAACTGCAGTTCGTCGTCATAACTGACTTGAGTGGGCAAATGCTCACATTCGATGGCGTCTGGCACTTTAGAGAGGTGTTCTCTTCACGGATGAATCACGGTTTTCACTGTGCAGGTTAGATGGCAGACAGCGTGTATGGTGTCATGTGGGTGAGCGGTTTGCTGATGTCAATGTTGTGGATCGAGTGGCCCATGGTGGCGGTGGGGTTATGGTACTACATTAACACTTAACTTAATACTATTAACTAATAGAGAAGCAAGATTAACTAAGCAGTAAGTAGTAGCAAATTTAGGACAAAGCTAGTTGCTTATTAGATATTTGATAATTATTAAATAAAAATATCCTCATTGAGAACTACTTGTGAACTATGACCAGTTAATAATTGTTAACAAGTAACTATGTGGCGGTGGGGTTATGGTACTACATTAACACTTAACTTAATACTATTAACTAATAGAGAAGCAAGATTAACTAAGCAGTAAGTAGTAGCAAATTTAGGACAAAGCTAGTTGCTTATTAGATATTTGATAATTATTAAATAAAAATATCCTCATTGAGAACTACTTGTGAACTATGACCAGTTAATAAAGAATAACCAATTAATTACTAATCACAACAGTAGCATCTTAAAAGTGAACTATTGGGTTATTTGTGGTAATTTGTGGTAACTAATTTATGAATTTGATATCCCCCAAATAAGTCGGCTACATTTTAAAATTGTGACTACTACTCTTACCAAAGGATGGATGTTCAAACATAAACATAGAATAATAATAAAAATGAAAATTCACTTAAAATGTTAATCATTAAGAAGTGATGCTGACAAGCTCATGATTGAATTAGTTCACAATTATGATTAGTGTCAGTTCAGTGTCAATGTATCCCACTCCAAAAGACCTACTGGTAAAATATCACTAGTGCCTTACACAAATGTATGACTGTACAGTATGTCAGATATAAAATATGTTAAGTAACTTATTAAATTACTTAGTAATTACTGAGTGGTTAAGGTGTTTTTCACTTTAAAATAATGGTCCAGATCACTAGTAGTTCCTTAGTAGCAGAAAAATACATTAGCCTCTCACTAATTACTCAAGCTTTACCTTGTCAGTCTGTAGGAACTACTAGTGATCTGGACCATTATTTTAAAGTGAAAAACACCTTAACCACTCAGTAATTACTAAGTAATTTAATAAGTTACTTAACATATTTTATATCTGACACATACATTTGTGTGAGGCACTAGTGATATTTTACCAGACACTGTAATCTGGAATATGCGGTTTTGTGCTTAACACAATATACAGTAAATGCAGTCGATGCCTTCATTAAGGATGTGAATTGTTTTTGTCAAGAGAACATCATTATTTATATTCAATAAAAGTCCTCCCCAGCCTACTGTCACTAAAGTTATAGGTCTTTTGGAGTCGGAGACATACTGAACTGACACAAACTAGAGCTCATAATTGTGAACTAATTCAATCACTTCCTAATTATTAAAATTTTTAAATGAATTATTTTTTATTATTATTTTATGTTTTTTGTTTGAAATAAACAGAGAACATCCATCCTTAGGTAGCCGACTTATTTTGGGGATATCATATTCATAAATTAGTTTCCACAAAGAACCTAATTGTTCACTTTTAAGATGTTACTGTTGTGATTAGTAATTAATTGGTTATTCTTTATTAATTGGTCATAGTTCGCAAGTAGTTCTCAATTAATATCTTTTTTAGTAATTATCAAATATCTAATAAGTAACTACCTTTGTCCTAAATTTGCTACTACTTACTGCTTAGTTAATCTTGCTTCTCTATTAGTTAATAGTATTAAGTTGTGTTAATGTAGTACTACCTATTACTTCCTGCATAGTTACTTGTTAACAACGGACCATTATTCTAAAGTGTTACACAAATTTGTTCTGTACATTGAGTTTATGGGGTGTTAACCACACATTGTTATTATTTCACTGTTTGCACATATTCATAAAGAACAAATGTCATTGAAGATGTATGTTGAAAGAGAGGAATTCTTCAAAAGTATCACTGACTGTTGAGGCAGCTGAAATCTGAATAGAAAAATATGCCTTCCTGGCCTAATCACTGATCCATCTGAGGAACATAAGGCATTAGTACAGCATGAGTTACTGTTAGAAAACACTCTCTGTCTTGTTAAGAGAATGTTTCAGAGATGTCTCACCCCTCCTTTTTTTTCTCTCTAACTCTTCTATATACAACGCATT